CCGAATTATTCAACACCTGATCGCAATGCCGAAAGAGAGCTTTTATAAAGAGAGTGGCCACTTGTTTGTTTCAGGCCATTGAGTAATAAATATATCTGTTTATTACTCATTGGTTTCAGGCAGATAACTCCTTTGCTCGATACGTCGTCGACGCTGTTGCTTTTGATCCCGTTACATACTTGAGCTCCTCTCAGAACGCAAGCATTGCTGATAGAAAGAGCGGGAGAGGAAATTGCAATGCCCGCTGCCCTTGAGCCGTGGGCAGTGCTGCTTTTAATTCCGTTATGTTGATATGCAGCCTAAAGCGAGTGAGGAGCGAGCTTTGCGGTTGTCGTCAGACGGGGGAAGGGTAAGGCAACAGAGCGTCGGTTGCGCTAAATATGGCAATTTAGTTTGTGCGCGTCTGCCTTTTTGATCGAACGTAAACTCCGCGCGTGTGAATTAAATCTTATCTAATAAAGTATTATTTATTTTAACTGTAATTACAAGTAATTAGTTTGTGTCGTGTGTGTATTTAAAACAATCGTAAATAAATTCCATACTCCGTGCGTACAGTTAAATATCATAAACAGTCGGTAAAATTTGTGTGGGCAATTTTTGTGCTGCGAAGCTTTTTTCACGTAGCCAAAAATGGCGCAAATTTGTGGCTTGAGAGCGGCAGAGAGCGAGAGCGAGAGAGAGAGGATGCAAGAGCGTGAGTGTCTCTCATTTAGTTATAATGTTATATATGTATGTGTGTTTTATTAGCAAGCGGCGTGCGTGTGAGTATGTGTTTGTTGTATGCATGTATAGAAGAAAGCTTGAATGTTTGTAAGAGCAGCTCAGCGCTGGGTTTAGGGTATCTCTTAGTCAAGCACTGCCGAGTAAATAACTTTTATATGTTTGTTGCCAACGGAATTGCAAATCATATAGTTAAATATAGTTAATTAAAGCTTTTTGTTTTCGTATGTTGAACCTCGTTGTGTCTAATAGTTTTAGAGCACATGTTAAATTATCAGCACGCCAAGGAATAATCCTTTAACCTATCTTCTAAAGCAAATATAAACTGTAAGCCAAACAAGAGATGCTATCTTATAGAGAAATCTAGATAGATAGACTTGAGAACACATTATACGCACCACAAAAAACACTTAAAACTAATCGCTCGACCCAAAAAGAAAACAATAATGAAAGAGTAATTCCGTTATCTGTCGATCTACATATGACATATTCACGGACCTCAGCAGACATTAGTGTCATATTTTATGAACTTGAAGGCACATGTTGTGCCAAACAAACACAGCTGATAAGCGGTCCCAAGCCCATTACCATTAGCATTACCATCGCCAGCGAAGCACACGCCATCCTTCAGAGTGTGTGTCCAACTTTCTTTGTCCTTTGGCTGTGCCTATCAGCGATGTCGCGGGGAGAGTACCACAATTTACCGCAGTGCGTGGCCCGAAATAAATAACCCAAAATGTCGACAGCACATTACACACACACACACACACACACAGTGAGTGGGCGGAGGGCGGGCGTCTAATTATGCAGCGTTGACAAAAACAAAGAGAGCACATAGGCGCCAGGACATTTGTGAAACGACCCGCCGTGGGGCCTTGAAAACTATTAAGAAAACATATTTTTCTTTTCTCTCGTTTCGTTTTTTTTTTTTTTTTCTTTTTGTTTAGAAAATGGCGCACGCGGCGCATTTAACACTAATCATTGTCATTATTATCGCTGGGCCCGCTTGGCTGTGCGCCAGGACTGGCTTGCCTGGCAGGACCTCAGGCGCTGTACCATTAAAAATTCATGATCTCAAGTGCCGTCGCTTGGCTCTGTTTGTTAGTTTGGGTGCCATATTTCACATTAGCCGACAGTAGCGTCGCCTTCGAGTGGTTTTTCCGCAGAACTGGCAGGCAAACTCTCGACATGTGGCTCAGTTCCCGAAACTCGTGCACACAAATTGATCAAAGAATCAATAAAACGCCAATTAACAATCATTTTCACACGCACCCACTGTACCCACAGTACCCCTTCCGGCCCAATTGTCGACTCATTGTTCAATTTGTCAACTAATGTGAAATGCAGTAAAACAATTATAAACTCCACCAACAGTTTTTCCGTAGGGACAACAGCGTGTTCTGGCCCATGAAATATGAAACTTTGGCTTTGTTTTGTCAGCTCCCTAAAGCAGAAAAAAGAAAAATATAATTAAAATTTAATGCAGCTATTTGAATTCGAGCTGCGTTCCAAGTCCAAGCAACTCGAGGCTATCAATAAGTAACTAGACGGGGACATGAGGCGTATTCAAGTGAACTATTTAAACATTTGCCTTCTGGGTTTTTCCTAGGAAAATTGACTCCACGCATGCAATGTCTCCCTTTCCACTCTCTCTCTCTCTCTCTGTTTATCTCTATGCGTGTTTACAGTCGAGCGCAATTAAACGACATTTGCTAAGGAGAAACAGACGCTGGAAGGAGCTGAGGCTGTAAAGTAAAATGTATCCAAAGAATAATGTTTGATTTCCCCAAAGGGAATAACCACATAGCAACTACTACAAATGATGCATGACGACCTAATGGAGCAGCTGTGTGGTAAATGAATCTGAGTACAACATTCCGGCAGGGATCTAAAATTTTAAAAGATAGATCTTGACGTGGTCACTCAAACTAACTAATTCTTTTGGGGTACTAGATGATTTGATAAGTAAAATATTTGGCATTAAAGTAAAACATATTCTCGAAACAGAAATATTTTAGGTAGGCATATTATTATTAAAGTGGGACCAGAAATAATAGATAATTAAAGAAGATATATGTGCTGGGCAATATGCGCTTTTGATGTAAAAGAATGTGCTATGAATGCAGAAGAATGTAAATACATTCATCTATTTCACCCCATCTCCCAAAACACATATTAAAGATATATATATGGACAGTACAAATACAAAATGAAAGATCTTCTACTACACTTATGCAGACATTTGGGTATTATGAATGCAGTCAAGCTGAAAGGTTCTACAATCTATATTGGAATAAACTCGCAAGTTTGAAAACAGAACTGGTCACAGGGAATTATTGAACGTGTGTGTCGATAATCTTGTCTGCTTAAAACTGTGGGCCCGTTTCCGTTCAGTATTCAAATTATTTTTGCTTGCCCAGTGCACAAACACTGAGCTGTCAATCATTCTGGCAGCCAGCACTCACAGAGACACCCAATACACACATGACACTTATCTCACCCACCGCCTACCTCTGGCCCCTTCAGTTTATGCTCCGGAGCGCCCGGGCTGCACATTGACAAGGAAAAGTCAAGAAAATTAAAAGTGCATTGCAATACAAGATACTCGCACCTCAGTCAGTCGCACAACAAGGAAATGACATAGCTGGAACCAGAGAGCCGAAGCATAGATCTCAGCCATGGGCCAAACACCTGCCTAATGTCAGCCGTTGAGGTGAGCGACTGCTTAAATGGAGTGACATAAAATTAAAATTGAAAAATCGAAAATTGAAAACTGAAAACTGAAACTACACAAAGATATGTACTTTCTGGCTGGGGCACATAAGTATTTCCGGCTTGAATAGTCCCACAGAGTTCAGATAAGGCATGCACCGAACGGTGGCAACTTGAAGAGCTGGCAAACATTTAGCCCTCGCAAAGCCCAAAGACAAACAAATTGCCGAGTGTGATAAAAAAAGTAAAAAGTAAAATAATGCGAAATCCGTAGTAAACGTAAACACAATGCAGCATAATAAGTGTGGCTACATTTTCCACTTAATTTATGGCAAATATGGGGGCCATCGATAGAGAGCAACAAAAAAGAAAAAAGAAGGCATTGAACGTGAATTTTTAATAGACTTTTAATAACCCACACAGAACGTGGGGCTAATTCCTTCGGTGGCTAAACAGAAAGTGTAATGAACCGCAGCCGCACATCGTGCAGACATTTTCCAAATGAAAAGCCATTGAAAGGCGTTGCCATTGGGCAAACAATGGCGGCGGCGGCGGCAAAAAAAAGAAGCGACAAAGCCAACGTCAGGATACAGCAGCAGCAGCAGCAGCAGGAGCAGGACGAGACGGTGGCAGACAAACAACAATAAAGATAGAAATCAACGCAGACGTGTGCATAAAATATTAATTATCAGCAGTTTACTGGCAACAGCAGCAGCAGCAGCAGCAGCAGCTCGACATATTGGCAATGACTCTGAAAAGCCAGCAGCAACAACAACAACAACAACTGAGTTTGGCAGACGCGACACGCAATAGAAACTGGCAAAATGCTTGGCATTGGCATTGGCATTGCCAGCTCCAAGCTAAAGCTGGGGATTGGGGCGCAAGTGCAGCGAGTTTGCTGCTTCAAATTAGTAAGCTTGCCAGTTGGTAACAGGCTGGCTGGGCAGCAGTTGGCGCCATTGATAACTGACTCAATAACTACGAGGCTATATTCTCTATGCAGCTTTGTTTGGATTTTCTGGCCAGAAAACGGCTGCCGCATGCGGCTAGACAAAAGTGCATTAAGCGCAGATGTGTGCGCCGGGCAAGAGGCGCGGTTAGAGAGACGATCAGACAGTAGGCAAAAAGGGTTGCCAGCAGAACCAGCTGCTGGCAGGCAACGAGTACAATTACGAGGTATACATAAATGGGATATCATTTGCTGTCAACTGCACTAATTGCAGATGGGCTTGTCCCTTTATCAGATAGCATATTACTCAAATCACAAATGAAATTTCACAAATTATTGAACACACTTCAAACAAATTTGTGTGCTCAACAGAACTGTCAAAGGGGTACAAAGACCCTTGAACTATATACCTTAATTATTTTAATAACTTAAGGATGACTTTTGCGTTTATAGTTAACTAATCTAATAAATTATTTAATGGCCCAAGTAGCACACAGTTTTTAGAACCCCTGACTTTTCTAATCCAGATTATTTAAAGATGATTTATACGAATTATTTGTAACTAGTTTTTCTTTAATGGCACACTCCTAAATTCCTTTTTATACGACGATCATTAAATTTAGCCTTGCTTGATTCCCTTGATAATGCGCATTTTCTTCTGCAGAATGCTGCCCAAGATGGTTTTCGGTCTGCCACCGCGCCTGCCGCCCCTCCTCCAGCCAGGTCGTCTGCCTCCTCCGCCTGAATGTCCCTTCCCTGGTGGACGTCGGGTTATAGTATCCACATCACCATCGTTGTATTCTTCGTAGTCTTCATACTCGGCAATGCATTCGGCGTCATCTATATTAATTTCAGCGGTACAGTCGACACAGTCTACATTGTTGGGCTCCTCGACACAGGTGACTGCCCCGCCCACTGGCAAGTAAGCCATAAGTATTGCCAGAAAGGCACAGCTTAGAATAATCAGCCTGCTGCTCATCTTAATTCAATTAAGTCCACGTAATTGCAACAATCGAATGATAAACTTTAATCAGTTTGATGAATTTATATAGCACCTCAGGTGCGAGAGATTTGGCAGGTTTACGCAGCTGTTTGCGAACTGTTTTTGCCAAATATTGTTAGTGAGCGATTAGCTAACACATTATAAACAATAGCCATATTGGCATTGCTTTGTTTGCATTTCAAAATTTGAGCAGCTGCTGTCAATTTCATCTCGTGAAGATATTGGAAAGTGATTAACACTATGGGAATCCATCACAAACTGTGAAGGTTGCGTGTGGGCGATCAACAAAAAAAGAGCAATTAACTGGTATCGAGTGAAAATGTGAGCTATTCTTGGCTTTTTGACTATTGCGACTTGCTCAAATATATAATTTCCGAATATTTGACTGAGCCAATTCAAGCGAAGAGGTAGATATTTTAAGAGAAGAGCAGCAAATGTTATATTCTGGAAGATAGGGAAATAAAAAGAGGTTTGGTTAAGTTTTTCTTTTTTAATTCGGTTTGTTATTTGTAATCTGTCTTAGGACAATAAACAAATTGCTTAGAAAAGAAATTAGTAGAAGGGACTTGGATAAATGTTGGCAAATATTATGCATAAAATAAAGTGATTTTAAATATTTACACAATTCAATTCAATAACTAAGCAATATTGTTTTTATCTAGACCAATTTCCAAACAACATTCTTTTAGGTTCAAATAGAATTATAGGAATAATTAGTTTTCTTTAAATTTTTCATTATTAGAGACCCAATGTAAAGGACATAAGGAAGAATTGCATTTGAGCGCTTATCGAATTAGATATATACGATTTATGCATCTGCCAGGAACTGAAGTATTCTTGTTAATCTGCCTTAGGTTTTCGATTCGCTGCTCAATATATTATTATATATATTTAACAGCTCGTTTCATTTTGCAACCACGATTATACGCCAGTATTGTGTTATCCATCAGATTCATTTGTCTTTTACCTACTTAAGCCTTGTTGTTCGTCTCATAACAAGCTGCTTAATTAATTTTTCTACACTCTGCTGGAGGCGTAGCTAAGCACTGGCCACCCACTAGAAGATCCTTCATACAGATCCAAATCATGCGTGAACATTAATTCGATTTGCGCAGATGTGTGCCAATCGACGAAACCGTCAAACTACGTGCGGAGGATACACACGGACAGGACAATGAGACGGGCGTCGCCGGGAGAGTCGCTGGCTTTAATTTCGCATATTGTTGACAACAACATGGAGCATAGCAGAGCCAAATGATGTGAGTGCTGGCAGAGATATTCAATGAGGGGTTAGTCCACACACACACACACACACACACACAGCGCAACAATAACCTGAGCCAAATACTCGTACCTGGCAGTCAGCGTTATCTGTAGTGTGTGTCCCCTGTAGCCAGGAATTGTCCACTTGGGTCTCGCAGTGTCACTAATTGTGCACAATATGAAGGATACCTGTGTGTGTGTGAGTGTGTGTGTGTGTGTGTGTGAGTGTGTGTGTTGGGGGAACTGAGAACTCGTCGTGCTGCTGTTGACTGGTGGTTGCTGGCGCTGTTGTCTGATGGTTTTGCTGGTTCTGCTGGTCCTGCCACTCCTACTCCAGGCCCACCCCACCCTGTCTCGCTCCTCTCCGCATGACCTGATGCGGCTCTGGTTGACCATTAGCTGTGGAGTTTTTTGCCTTTTGATCTGCGTTTCAGTACGTGTGTGTGTGTGTGTATGCTTGTTGTGTGTAATGCAATTAATGTGATTTTTGGTTGCAAATTAAACGTATTTATCAGCGTTTATCAATTAATTTTCATTTTCATTTACGGTCGACCAATTCTCTGAGGCTTGACAAATTATCAAACAATGATTAAACATGGCACTTTTAATGCGTTCACATCGACTTTAATTAAATAGAAGTAAGTCTGTGTATATGCGCCCATATATATGGGTATACTCATGTGCTTGTATGTGTGTGCGTGAAAACGGAAGCTGTCTCCAGGTCAAACATTGATCCATCTCGCAACTGCCAATATCACCAAAAACCCCAAGCCAAACAATAAATTTTATTACATGACATTTGTTCCTCGACTACGGCTCTGTCGTTACATTGCAATTTATGTGACCAATTTTATACCCTGTACTATAGGTATTAATTGGGTATATTGTTGTTTTAAACTTTTTAAGCATTAAAGTTGTGGCCATATTTTTATTTTTTTTATAATTTTGATGAAATACAAATTATTTATTTTATCTAATCTATAATTGTATGAACATCATTAAACTCTGTGATATAATTATTTTTTTTTGTAAATTGTCCAGTTGAAGAAATTACGATCCCCCATCAAATAGATTTTTTCTAGGGCATCTCACAGCATAGATTATCGCAAATTCGGCACATAGAACTTGTTTTTGGTAATTTATTTGATTTGGACATGGCTGTGGCCACGCCTACCCACTGACACCGCCCATCGATCATCCCCGCTGGCTATGCTAATAATGTTTTGTAATTTATTTTCAACATGTTGACAGTCGACGCGCATTTTGAGCCGTAAATTTGTTGAATTTGCCATTATTATTGCATTCAGTTGCTCTCGATTCGCATGTTGTTGTTGCATTTATTGTTGTAGCTGCCGTTACACATAATTGATTAAAGGAAATTATATAAAAGGTGCAAACTGCCGCAATTTGATGATGCATTTTGATGGCATTCGGAGGTTTGTCGGATTTCCATTTCAGCCGCGCATCAGAGTGTGAGCAGGATAATGTGTAGTTGTTACTTAGTTTCATGTGCATTTTAATTAAATTCGTTTTCTGGAAATTTGATGAAAATGTATGCATTTAGATATTCTATATTACTAGAGTTGCTAACATTTCGGTTTCTCTGGGAAGGCATATTCCATTTTGAATTTAAATGATTTTTATCAAAATGATATAGTTTTTTTTTGTGCTTATACTAACGAGTCCTTACGTAGAGAGCTATATTATATTCTTCCGAGCATTATGCAGATAATATATTCTTTTAATTTTCAATATTATCTCTCGACTTTGGAATACTTCTATACAGATTTTACATAATTTAATATGAACATATCAATATATATATTAATTTAAAATATAATCAATAATATTTTAAATTAATAAACAAAATTCGTATAATAATACGATTAAAATTATATGTAATAAAAAAGGAAATTATCTCTGCCGACCACAAAAAACCCTATACAAATTGTTGGTTGTAGGTTTTCTTAAATTCTTTAGACTGTAGCCCACTTAAGCCCTTAAATCTTATATTTCGAGTTTCTTATACTGCATTTTCTTTTATGATCTATGCATTATAAGCAATCATAATATGTTTGTTTTCCTATGCAATCGATCCTGCTTCTGCTACAAACATAAGATGGCAAATGTTAATTTTCCAATTTACAATCTCTCGATCAAATTTCCATTTCCATTTCTTGCATGATCATGTACATTCCATTAAAATATCATATAGAGCAACCCAAACACAAGTACCCTCATGCCCACATGACACATTTTCATCTATCGCACTCTACTCGGCTTTCAATTCCAAATCCAATGCAAAACAATAAATCGAAATGAGCTGATTTTCCCGAAAAATAAAAGCGACAATTTAAATGAAATCAAATAAAACAATAGTCGAAAACAAACAACTCGACCAAACTGACCAGAAAAAGAACAGATTGCATTCCACGTGAATGCCAGAGCTGACTGCAAATATTCAATAAATGCAACCGCAGCAACAACAAAAGCGGCGAGAGCAAGATTTAAAGTATGCCCCCACTCAAACGGCAGCAATGCCACGCCCCCAGGCACTCGCATGCCACACAGAAGCGAGGCGAACAGAAGAAAAATTAAATTAAGTTTATTGACATATTGCTAATTAGACAGAACATGACAGCGTATCAAGATTTATAGCGCCCGATAAGCAACAGCAGCAGCAGCGTCGGCAGCGGCCCCAAACATTTGGACCCGCACTCGGTTCCGACCCCGTCGTCCACCCCAACCCGAAGGCGGATCAATGAACGCATTCATTTTAATTGGAGACATGGAAAATATGCCAAACAAAGAACATGAACAAAAAAAAAATAACATACTCAGCTCTCTCTAGCAAAGGCATAGGAAAGACGACGACGCTCTAATTAAATGCACTTGAGAATGCCACAACAGCATGCAATCGGGTGTACAAGTGTGTGTGTGTGCGAGTGTGTGCTACGGTTCACTGGAATTTATGTGCTACCCCTCAACTGTCTCGTAAATCTCACAAAAATCCAAAATTCGTCGTCTGCGAAAAACTATGAAAAAGCGCATAAAAATTGTTCAGTTGTCGAACATTTTTGGATTTTTGGGTTTTCTTCTGTTGTTTTTTTTTTTATTGTTTTCCTTGGGCAATATTTACCTTTTAATAATGCTCGGTGTCTAGTCGTCACCCCGCAGGCCCACATATCGATATGGGGAGGAACTATTCTACGTTGCAGTTACGCGTGTTGTTGTTACTTTTGTTGTTGTTGTTGTTGTTGTTGTTGTTGTAACACTGCTGCCACACGATAGCAACAAATTTTTTTAGCTCTTGTTGCACACAAATTGCTAGCGTGTGTCATAAATTTTCGAGCATAGAGAACCGGAAAAAAAGATGGTAAAATAACTGAATCCTAACTGCCACTGAAAATGAAAATGAATGAAATTTGTAAGTTGGACAAGTCGATAGCTGAATGCTCTACTAGAAAAGGAAGCATTAACAAAAATATATATTTATTGTAAACTACTTATAATTGCGGCTGCAAGGCGGCAAACTAAAAGCGAAAAATACGTATTTATAGTTATATTATATTTTGATTTAAATCAGTAATTCTGGGCTTTGTTAATAAATTTAAACAGAATTTTCCTTTAGGCATTATTTGAATTTTTACCATTATTTATTCGTATCAGGCGAAGCCGGCCTATTTCCTCTAGTATTTCTATAATTATTTATT